ACCGTTTAAATCTTAAGTAAATCAATAGATGAAAAGAGACTTTTTGGACCAACCCTCCAATATATGAACACAAAAGGGGAAAATGTTGGGGTCTAATTTAAAGGATCAGTGGCTTTTCACTGACTATGGTAATGGTTTAGCCTCATTTGCATTGCATTGTCTTTGTGCTTTTTCTAGGTACTATATTACTAATAGCAAAACGAAGAATCGTACGCAATTTTCATGCGTACCGTGTATACTCCAACTCTTCGTCAATGGCGGAAGCAGAATCTAGGTTTAACAACTTGAGATAACAAATGTTGCATGAACCATCCTTCGTTGAAATTATAATAGGCAGAATTTCAAACAAACATTTAAGTGATATTTGATGAAAACAAAGGAGGAGTTGGAGGAGACACCAGGGAGGTGGCAAACCACTATTAATGCCTCGAGTTTGCCGATCTCATAGTACCACTCGCTTATATCGATTTTCAGACTATCAAATTTAGATAAATAAGCATTTTTGGCAAATAGTATCCAATTTTATAAAGGAATAATTATATGGGGATACGAGAAAATAACAATTAGGACACTCTATTAGATCTAGCATGCTACACTATGCAAAGTAAAATTACCTTCTTTAAGTGTAATGCTAGGTACGTTAAAATCGGTTTATTAAATTAATATACTAATTTTTTGTGACAATCTGTAACTAGGCCTATAAACAAGTGCATCGTATTCAATACCCAAATTTACCACATTATACCAACTCTGTAAATCAATCTTAGTATACCAATCAATGTTGTTTCTTCAACCTAATTAACAAAAAAAAAAAATGAATCCGCTTTATTGGTGGTAAAAATTTAAGACTACATAAAGGAAGCACAATGGCCCAAATATCTCCACATTTTTTTATAGAGATTTCTCTAAGCGTTGCTTCTAAACTTGCCACCTAAGATTGTAGATTGCTAATAGCTCACTTCTCATTATAAGAAAAGCTTTTTGTGCTTTTCCTATGAAGGTAGCCACCACCTAGACTAGGGGTGAGCAATCGGTCAATTCAATTGGCCTGAAGTGACCTTACTCAATTGGCTCAAGCTTCGTTCACAAGGATATCCGATTTTGGTTCCAGATTCCTTAAATAGGAATAGGTCTTGACCGGCTCAATTCCCAATTCTCTACCCTAGAGAGTAGAACATGGAACCAAACTAGTTTAACCCTAACTAAGTTCTTTTACTCTTTTTATAAAACAGAAAATTATTAAAATTGAGTATGTTTGACATATTATCCTCAAGCAAAAAAAATTGTATTCACTTCTGAAATAACCAAAGTTCGTTCGGTCTCTCCTCTTTTGCTTGAAAGGTTTGCATATATATTTTTCTCTATGGAAAGCCCACAACTTGACAGACAAAAGGTGATGGGTGAGTAGATCGATTTCATCACAATGCCTAGGTCTCCATAGCTCTTTGAGTTTTGTTTTTACACCATCCCTTTTTTCTTTTGATTTTTATTTCTACTCCACCTTTGAACGATCCACATCCAATCTTTGATACGCTACTTTTGTTTCTAATTGATAACTACTTTAAGTGTTTTCTCCTACAATCTCTAAATACGCATTTCTGTTTTTGAAGTTTGATTAATATGTTTCAGTGATTTTTTTTTTGGTCTGTATGTTTCAGTGATTTTAATACAATTATCTAAGCATTAGTGTGAAGAATCGGATGTATGATATCTCAATTTCTTTTTCAAGCCAGTATTCAGAAGTACACTCGTCATGGTACCTGCAATTGTCACATCCGCAAACATTAGTCCCTTGGATTTGTTCGCCTTCTTCATCTTGATGGAGCTCAGGATCCGCTACGAACCCAGTCGCGTCTCCTCTCGCTCCTACTCGTGGGTGAGCCTTGACAAGCGCCGTGAGTTTTCCTCATGTTAAGCAATCACGAGTTTTGTGCGCCACACAAGAATCACTTGATAGGGAAGCGCTCTCTTGTTCTCTCCACTGCTCGGCTCCGGCTTCACCTTTGCGGGGCCCACTAGTGGTTTGCCTCCACTTGGTCGGTGGAACTTGTTGCGATCTCCCTCACTTGTGCCTTTGTGTTTAATTTGGGAGTCTAACTTATCTCAAAGTTCCTTTGTGTTCCACGAGTGTCCGTGCCACGGTCAAGGCCGTCAAGAGGTCCTTTGCCTTATGTCGCTTCAACTTGAGCTTCGCCCATGGTTTGAGATCACCCATGAATTGTAAATAGGCTTCCGTTTCATTCATGGAAGGGATTTGTAGCAACAATTCCAAGAATTTTTTCACATACTCTCACACTCCACCTCTTTGCTCCAGGCGACGGAGTTCATCCCGACCTTCTTCGTCCACATACGTGGGGAAGTATTGCCGTTGGAGCTCCATGGCAAATATCTCCCAAGTTGTAATGGGTTCGCCACTCTTATCATCACACCTACGACGCCACCACAATAGCGCATTGTCTGTCAAATACATGGCCGCAGTTTTTACGCTAGTGCACCATCAGTAACTCCTGTTGCTTGGAAGTACAACTCCATGTACCATAAGAGTTGTCCACGTCGTTGGCCACCTTTGAGCTCTTGAACTCTTTCGGCTTAGGACCGTCTACTCATGGACGTGATTGCCCCGCTCAAACATGCAGTCTCCACCTTAGCGAGTTTCACCTTGAGTTCGATCATCTCTACCCGCATAGTCTCCACCAAGGCTTCCAAGGATCGTCCTGCTACTGGAGTTTTTCGGTTGTAGCACTCAAAGTGCCCAACATCTCTCCTAGGAGCTCACCCATGTCTGATTCATGCACTTGCACCTTCGCTCCCTTTCTGGATTCAAGCCCTTCAATGCTCTCGGAGGACCGCTCCTAGGACATCCCCCATGCAATCTCGATCTTCGCCCCGTGGGCCTCCAACTCATACAGCACATCCCTTGAACCCCCACAGCCCTTGTTTGCCTTAGCGCCTTGTTCCTCGGTGGCCCTCCCACTTCGATCCTCAACAACCTTCCCACCTTGTTGGTCCTCACCCTGGATGAACATTATGTCCGAACGTGGATCCATTGCACCTTGGATGGACTCACTCTAATACCATTTGTCACGGGCCGGTTGTTCTTACGTTCTCTTACCCATGTCGGCCTTAGAAATTTCTTACCAAGTCAGCCTTACTCACAGCACCCACAAGGATCTTAGAGAGATAAGTTTTGAATTTCTATTACTTATAAGATGATACAAATAAGGGAGACGGGACCCATGTATATACAATTATTCATCTAATTACAACCGTAGATCACTCCTTAATCTAACAGTGGAAACTATATCTCCCTATTTCCCAACCACCCGCATTAATTACAAGAATACTCTATACTAGTGTATATTTCCCATACTACCCCTGGGAATATCCTAGAATACACAAGAAACCTTAGGACTTTAGAAGCTTCAAGGCTCACCTTGTCTTCTTGGATCATCCTCGGTCCATCATGCTTGTACACCACTAGACCGTGACATAAGCATGTGCACATCTACCCATTCACTAGAAATTTGTCGTCATCCATATCCAATTGGAAATTTTGGTTTCGGGTTTTTTTATCTTGTTATAAGTTAGAAAGACAATGGAATCCAAATTTGAAGTTACCAAATACGAATGGGATGAAATTGCTGATTTACATTGCCTTTTGTGTGTGATTCAAATAATGAGCACTGCCCACAGAACTAACTGCGTTACCATCGAACACCACTACGAATCTGCAAGAAGGTGGACAACAAGGAATGCCAATTAGTCAATTACATGGCTTCCTTATTACGAGGTTCACTACCTGGAAAACATTTTGTGCCGATCTCGTCCTTGTCACGTGGATTGACCTTCCAAAGAACGGTAAGAATTATGTGATCCCAATTTAAATATGTACGTCTCTACATTCTCTTTTTGCTTTCCAACAGACATAAGTGTTGGATTTGGTTTATGATATTTGTTCAGTTTTCTTGGAAACACTCAATGAAGAGTTGCAACTGCATGGTCATAAATCTGTGGAATTGACTTTGAAATACGAATGCTCGAATGACTATAAAAGTTCGTTTCATTTTATTTTTTGGTTGAGTAACTCAAAGGTGATTTCTGACCAAAAAACAAGTACTCAAAGGTGATAATCAAGACTAACATAGACGAAGCACAATGGCCTAACATAGAGTCATCCTTTAAACAAATGTCATCGAATTGAACGTCGATTGCGTCACTAGGAAAGATGGAGTTTTTAGAAATGGAGGATGGAGATTGCATTGGAGGTCTCTCAGAGTTTGTGGATTTCTTTTCCAACACAAACTGCCGTATGGCCATTATGTCGTTGTTAGAATATGGGTGATCATTTTGCCAGTGGGTCGGTTCCCACCTAGAATCGAGACACTAACTAGTGGTGCCCGATCTGAAAAATCAAAACCAGTAACTAAATCGATCAGATTAAATGAATGGTCTTCGATTCCGAAGGATTTGAACTGAAAATCAAATGGGTGAGTTCCCAATTTCACATGGAGCTGCTGAATTGTATAATTGTTAATTTTGTCCTTTAAATTTTTAAACTCTTCCGACGTCTTCATTCAAAGGTTATATGGTTGTGCTTTTTGTCTTGAAGAGCATGGTTCGAATCTCATAAAATGCAAGTTTTTCTTGTTATGAAAATGAATACATGTCTCGAATTTGTCAACAGGCTTAGGGTATATGGTACGCTTTATTGCATAGAAATTAGAAATTGAAGGTATTATCTGTGCTTCAAAAACATACCACTTAAATAATATGAGATTCATTGACTTAAATGTATAATATGAGATTCATTAACTAAAATGTCATTTCTTTTTCAGGGTACGTCGTATTATAAATGCAGTCCCTTATTTTTTACAAATTCATGAATTACAACAAAGAAACTAAGAAGGCAACAACGATTCTTAGTTCCACTTCATCCTACTCTCGCGGTTCCATCCGTAACCCTTTTGCTGGTCGTTCTGGCGGAATCCTGAGGATTAGTGTCAAGCGACATCGGGTCCGGCAGGTTCAAGATCTCTATTCTGATCACCCCAATCCCACGTATCCCAATTGTCACAGACTATATCTTGGCTGCTCTTGAGTTCGCAGCCGCCACATTCAAATGATGGATTAGCTAAGACATCGCCAAAGAAAACCGTTTGGCCACTATTACTGCCATGGAAAGCCTCAGGTCCTTGCTCCAAGTCCAAAAGCAGTTCAGGGTCCGTTTCGGATTCCCAATCTACTTCGTCTATATGGATATTTGGATCAGGCAATGAGATGTTACATGGAAGCCCATTGATCTCTGCCCAAAACCGCTCCTTAGCGTTGTGAAACGCCTCCTTAACTGCTGAATCGTTCCACGTAAGCACTTTGCCATAAATGTGGATGTACTGCTTTGCTTCCACGAGCTTTTTCCAGGGAATTGACCCTACCAATTTGCAGAATTCCTTCTCCCAGGATGGAACGGCTGGCCGCCAATTGCCTGCTAAAGTAACGAAACCCGTCATTAGTTCATCAACACAAGACACAGTTCCGAATAAGGACGATCCAATATCACATTCTTGATCATCCATTAAGCAAAAATATTGCATAATTCAACAAAAAGAGACTGCCTGCCATTATAAAAAAACACAACCCCTTCAAATAGCAGTCACTCAACTGCCATAGTCAAATGAGTATCGATGGAAAATAAAGAGAACAAACTTTACAAGTAGGAACCTGAGAAAACATTATTGCAGACAAAGAACTTAAAAAAGAATAAAAGAAACGTTCATCAACTGCTCAGATAATCAGACAAAGACAAATAAATGATAAATGAGTGCAGAGACGTAAATATTACCGATAGGCGGCTTTCTTCCGAACGATCTGTTCCCATGAGTGCATTGATGACGATTGAAACCTTTTTGTCCCCTCCAACTGTCCATAATAGAACACTCCTTTAAAACTGACAGAAGGATGTTGAAAAAATGTTGCAGTTGCTGAGCAAGAACAAGATGGCACTAGTCCGAGAAACTTTCAGATGGCAATCTCAGGTTTCAGCCGGAAAAGAAAATGAGGGCCAGTTTGGAATTGCGATCACAACAAGAGAGGGAGAGATGCTGAGGTTTAAGGCTTATATGCAACGTCTAAAAGGTGGTTGAAAATTCGTAAACTCGAGATGAAATTGTATGAAGCACACAGTGTTTTGCGAGGGGGCGGTTTGGTGTTTATATAGCTCTTCAAGTTCTGATTCCGATTACAGTTTCCTTCTTTGTCGGTCCTCATCCACCGCTGGTGAATCGAATTCGTACACAGGCATTATTGTCTTTCCGACATGATTCTATATCTTCTTCTTTTTGCTGAACGTTTACTGTTTTTTTGTCAACTAGCAGAAAAGGAAAAATCACCATTGAGTTTATCAACCAAAAAATTAATGAAAGCGACCGTTGTTAGTCATTTAATTTGCAGATATTTGTTTCCATTCGAGCCTTCAAAATTCAAGTCAATTCCATAGATGTCTTCCCATATGGTTGCGACTGGTCACCAGAGTGTTTCCAAGAGATGTGAACAAATTTCAGAAACCAAATCCAACACACGTCTGTTAGAAGGCAAGAAGAGAATTTGGAGAGGTACATATTTAATTTGGAATTCTTACCAATATTTGGAAGGTCAATCCATGTGACAAGGGTGAGGTCATCGCAAAATATTTTCCAAGTATTGACCCTCGTGATAGGAAAGCCATGTAATTGGCATTCCTGGTCTTGCACCTTCCTGCAGATCTGCTGTGGTTTGAGATGGTAACACAGTTGGTCACGTGGGGCATGCTCATTATTTGAATCACGCATAAAAAGCAACGTTAATCAGCCAATTTCATCCAATTCAAGTTGGTAACTGCAAATTTGGATTTGGTCATCTTTCTTACTTAAAAAAAGAAAACAAAAAAGAGAAACCAAAATTTCATATTGGATAGGGATGATGACAGATTTTTAGTAAATTGGTAGATGTGCACACGGATAGCTCACGCATGTAAGTCTACCTTTAAAATCTTAAGTAAATCGATAGATGAAAAGAGAGTTCTTGGACCAACCCTCCAATTTATGAACACAACAGGGGACAATGTTGGGGTATAATTTAAAGGATAAGTGGCCTTTCACTGTCTATGGTAATGGTTTAGCCTCGATTGCATTGCATTGTATTTGTGCTTTTTCTTGGTACTACATTACTAATAGCAAAACAAAATATCGTGCACAATGTTCATGCGTACCGTGTATACTCCAAATCTTCATCAATGGCGGAAGCAGAATCTAGGCATAGCAGCTCGAGCTAAGAAATGTTGCGTAAACCGTCCTTGGTTGAAATTATAATAGGCAGAGTTTCAAACAAACATTTTAGTAATATTTGACGGAGACAAAAGGAGGAACCGGAGGAGGAGACGACCGGTGAGGTGGCACACCACTATTACCGCCTTGAGTTTGCCGATGCTCATAGTACGACTCGCTTATATCGATTTTTCGGACTATCAAATTTGGATAAATAAGCATTTTTGGCAAATAGTATCCAATTTATAGAGGGATAATTATTTGGGGATACGGAAAAATAGCAATTAGGATACTCTATTGGACCTCTCGTGCTGCACTATACGAATTAAAATTGCCTTCTTTAAGTGTAATGCCAGGGACGTTAAAACCGGTTTTTGAAATTAATATACTAATTTTTATGACAATCTGTAACTGGGCCCATAAAGAAGTGCACCGTATTCAATACCTAACTTTACCACATTATACCAACTCTATAAATCAATGCCATTATACCAATCAATGTTGTTTCTTTACCTAATTAATAAAAAAAGAAAAGGTAAAAGGAAAATGAGTCTGCTTAATTGGTGGTAAAAATTTAAGACTGTACAAAGGAAGCACAATGGCCCAAATATCTCCACATATTTTTACAGAGATTTTTCGAAGTTTTGATTCTAAACTTGCCACCTAGAATTGTAGATTGCTAGAATATCTTACTTCTCATTACAAGGTTAGGTTTTGGTGCTTTTCCTATAAAGTAGCCACCACCTAGACTTGGGGTGAGAAAACGGACCAATTCAATATGTCCGAACTGACCTTACTTGGCTGGTGCCCAGTTCACAAGGGGATCAAGTTGGTTCCTCATTCCGGTATAAGGAACGTGGAACCGAACCAATTCAACCCTAACTAAATTCTTTTGATCTTTTCTATAAAATAGATTATATTTATTAAAATTTGAGTATGTTTGACATATTATCTATAAGCAGAAATAATTGTATTCACTTCTGGGATATCGAAAGGTCATTCAGTCTCTCCTCTTCTGCTTGAAAGGTTTGCATATATATATTTTCGTCTATAGAAAGCCCACAACTGGACAGACAAAAAGGTGATGGGTGAGTAGATCGATTTCATCACAATGCAAAGTCTCTATAGTTCTTTGAGTTTTGCTTTTCCACCATCTTTTTTTTCTTCTTCTTTTTATTTCTACTCCACCTTTGAACGATCCATATCCAATCTTTTATATGCTACTTCTGTTTCTAATTGATAACTACTTTAAATGTTTTCCCCTACAATCTCTAAATACACATTTCTGTTTTAGTAGTTTGATTTATATGTTTCAGTGATCTTAATGCAATTATCTAAGCATTGGTGGGAAGAGTTGGATGGATATCTCAATTTCCTTTCCAAGTCAATTTAGCCATGCTTAGGATATAGAGTACCTTCCCTAGTGCTAGTTGTTGCACCCGCGCTATGCGCATGCCCGATCATGACATCCTTCATTCTAGAAGGAAATAAAGGAAACAAATACCACATTTTTTTTTATCGTTAATAGGAATTAATTTTAGGGTGAGTAATAGCTAATTACCTTTAAAAAAAAAAGAGGTGAAAAGTACCAAAAAAGTCATAAACCTATTGAATTTGTACCAATTCGGTCCTAAACATTTTAATTGTACAAATTTAGTCCTATACATGTTGACATTTTGCCAATATATCTAGTCAATTTTAGTCTGAAATTGCTGAAGTGGACGACAGCCATCCTACACTATGTAGCACGACCCACGCTGAAGCGAGACACTAACTAGGGGTACCTAATATGAAAAACCAAAACCAGTAACTAAATCGATCAGATTGAATAGATGGTATTCAATTCCAAAGGATTTGAACTGAAAATAAAATGGGTGAGTTCCCAATTCTGCATGGAGCTGCTGAATTGTATATTGCAAATTTTGTATTTGAAATTTACTAACTCTTATGACGTCTTCATTTAAATATATGGTTGTGCTTTTTGTGTTGAAGGTCATGGTTTGAATCTCATAAAATGAAAGTTTTTTCTTGTTTTGAAAATGAATACATGTCTCGAATTTATAAACAAACGTTCAGGGTATATGGTACGCTTTATTGCAAAGAAATTAGAAATTGAAGATAGTATATGTGCGTCACAAACATACCACTTAAATAATATGAGATTCACTTAACTTATATGTCATTTCCTTTTCGGGGTACATCATGTTATAAATACAGCCGCTTATCCTTTACAAATTCGTGAATTACAACAAAGAAACTAAAAAGGCAACAACGATTCTTAGATCAGCTACATCCCACTCTCGCAGTTCCATCCGTAACCCATTTGCTGGTCATTCTGGCGAAATCCTGAGGACTTGTGCCCAGCGACATGGGGTCTGACAGGTTCCAGTTCCCTATTCAAGTCACCCAAATGCCACGTATCGCAATTGTCACAGACTATATCTTGGCTGCTCTTGAGTACACAGCTGCCACATTGAAGTGATGGGATTAGCTAAGACATCGCCAAAGATAGCCGTACCACTACAATTACTGCCATCGAAAGCCTCAGGTCCTTGCTCCAAGTCCAAAAGCAGTTCAAGGTCCATTTCGGATTCCCAATCTACTTTGTCAATATGGATATTGGGATCAGGCAAAGAGATGTTACAGGGAAGCCCGTTGATCTCTGCCCAAAACCGTTCCTTTGCATTGTGAGACGCCTCCTCGACCGCTGAATCGTTTCACTTAAGCACTTTGTCACATGTGTGGATGTACCACTTTGCTTCCATTAGCTTTTTCTAGGGACCTGATCCTACCAATCTACAGAATTCCTTCTCTCACGATGGAATGAATCAGGCAAAGAGATGTTACATGGAAGCCCGTTGATCTCTGCCCAAAACCGTTCCTTTGCATTGTGAAACGCCACCTCGACTGCTGAGTCGTTCCACTTGAGCACTTTGTCATATGTGTAAATGTTACCGCTTTGCTTCCACGAGCTTTTTCTAGGGAACTGACCCTACCAATCTGCAGAATTCCTTCTCTCATGATGGAACGGCTGGCTACCAATTGCCTACTAAAGTAACGAAACCTATCATTAGTTCATCAACACAAGACACAATTCCGAATAAGACCCAATATTACATTATTGATCATCCATTAAACAAAATTATTCCATAATTCAACAAGAAGAGACTGCCTACCAATATAAAAAACACAACCCCTCCAAATAGCAGTCAGTCAATTGCCTTAGTCTAATGAGAATCGAGGGAAAGTAAAGAAAACAAACTTTACAAGTAGTGCACCGTATTCAATACCTAACTTTACATGATATTTGACAGAGACAAAGGAGGAGTTGGAGGAAGAGACGACCAGGGAGTTGACACACCATATTAACGCCTCGAGTTTGCCAATGCTCATAGCACGACTCGCTTATATCGATTTTTCGGACTATCAAATTTAGATATATAAGCATTTTTTGGCTAATAGTGTCCAATTTTATAGAGGGATAATTATTTGGGGATACCGGAAAATAACAATTAGGATACTCTATTGGACCTAGCACGCTACACTATACGAATCAAAATTACCTTCTTTAAGTGTAATGCTAGGTACGTTAAAACCAGTTTATTAAATTACTATACTAGTTTTTGTGACAATTTGTAACTGGGCCCGTAAACAAGTGCACCGTATTCAATGCCTAAATTTACCACATCATAACAACTCTGTAAATCATTCTTATTAAACCAATCAATGTTGTTTCTTTAACCTAGTTAACAAAAAAGAAAAGGAAAAAGAAAAATTTAAGACTATATTAAGGAAGCACAATGGCCCAAATATCTCTCCATATTCTTACCGATATTTCTCTAAGTGTTGCTTCTAAACCTGCCACCTAGAATTGTAGGTTGCTAGAGTAGTTCACTTCTCATTACAAGAAAAGGTTTTGGTGCTTTTCCTATAGAGTAGTCACCACCTAGACTAGGGGTCAGCAATTAGACCAATTCAATCAGCCCAAATTGACCTTACTCGTCCAGTTCAAGCCTTGCTCACAAGGGGATCCGGTTTGATTCCCAATTCCTTAAACAGGAATCGGCCTTGACCGGCTTGGTTTCCAATTCTATACCTTGGAGGGTAGAACATGGAACCGAACCAGTAACCCTAACTAACTTCTTTTGCTCTTTTTATGAAACAGATGATATTTATTAAAATTGAGTATGTTTGACATATTATCCTCAAGCGGAAAAATTGTATTCACTTCTGGGATGTCCAAAGGTTGTTCAATCTCTCCTCTTTTGCTTGAAACGTTTGCATATATTATTTTCCTTTATGGAAAGCCCACAACTGGACAGACAAAAGGTGATGGGTGAGTTTATCAATGTCATCACAATGCCTATGTATCCATAGTTCTTTGAGTTTTGTTTTTACAACATCCTTTTTTTTTCTTTTTCTTTTTTTATTTCTACTCCACCTTTGAAAGATCCACATCCAATCTTTTATAAGCTACTTTTGTTTCTAATTGATAACTACATTAAATGTTTTCCCCTACAATCTCTAAATACACATTTCTGTTTTAGTAGTTTGATTAATATGTTCGGTGATTTTAATGCAATTATCTAAGCATTGGTGGGAAGAGTTGGATGGATGATATCTCAATTTTTTAAAGTCAATTTAGCCATCCTTAGGATATAGAGTACATTCCCCAGTGCTAGTTGTTGCACCGCTGCAATGCGCGTGCCTGATCATTATATCCTTCAATTCAACCGAAAATACACCAGATATGGTTTTTGTCCATACCAGTTTATCTTCTGCTTCCTGTGGTCTTAGGGGGACTGCGGTCATTTCATCCACAATGTCAGGGTCGAATATATTTTGTAGCAACTGTTTATTTGACTTTGCTTCATCCTTCTTAATTAAGTAAGTCACTACCTTCGGTTCATTTCTGTTTGCAGGTCCCCCTATCATGCCCCTGTTTTAGCCATTTATCCTCCCTTATACTGATGCTTTTCCCATTTCCAACCATCGATGGACTTATGGTGTCTCTGCCTAGTAGTAACTTTGCCAGCCCCATGACGGTCTATTTCCTTTACTTGCATGCCAGAAATCACCTTCGGGAAAGTATAGACCTTTTAAAACCTTACTCCATAATGCTAAAGGGTTTTGAGCTATCCTCCACACCTGTTTCCTCCCTCCTCCCCAAAACCCCACCTATCAAAGCATCAGAAACTGATCTTTCTTCATTTCCACTCATGCCCACATTTTCCAGGAATCATCAAAATGCAGGCAAAATTTTCTTTAAAGAAAGAACAATCAAAAGACCGATACTTTCTTTATTTCCACTCATGCCCACATTTTCCAGGAATCATCAAAATGCAGGCAAAATTTTCTTTAAACCTCGATTATCAAAAAAAACAAAAAGACCGTACCAGGCGAAGAAGAAGAAGAAGAAGTAGAAGGGTCGGCGATGCGATGATCGTCTCTTCTCATCCTCTTACCCATCATTAACATCGATCAAGAAATTGTAAATGCTTAAAAGGCGACGCCCCAAATTCTGAAACAGCGAGAAAAAGAAAAGGCTCGGAGCCATTGAAGCTGCGAAATCCATTAAAGGGTTCTTGAATTTGAGGTGAGCCAAGCCCTTCTCTCTCTCTCTCTCTCTCTCAGAGCATCAGCGTCGAAGGCTTCCTGGTGTTAAAATCTAAAAGCCTTTTTGGTTTTTGCTTTTTTTCCCTTGTGATGCATCACAGTAAATGGTTAGTACTGTCGGAAGGCCGGAGGCAGAGGAGGAAGAGGAAGAGCAGCCTGCCATATAGACAAGCCTTAAATGCAAAACTTGCTCGCGTGCGAGTGCAAGTTTAAAGCAATACTCTGTTTTTTTTCTCAATTAAGCAAAAGTTAAAGTACACCTTTTGTCGAAAATCTATTGTGAATAAGTAAAATTGGAGTCTGAGAAAAGTATTTGTTCCAAATTCGCCACACGGCACTTCGGTTTGCCTCCATCGTAAACGCATGGCAATTCGCTTTGCCTTTATGATAGCCACATGGCAACACATATGACATAATTTCGACGTATAGCTCCCCTTCTACTGACTAACTCTTAATTTATTCAGTTGTCACATCTAAACTTCTGACTTTTATGGGATTTAAATTTAAAAAAAAAATAGACGAAGAGAGTGTATAGTTAGATTTTATCTCTTATTAAGTTTAAATTCAAAAAGAATGAATAAATTAAAGGAAGTGAATTCATGTCTACTTTTCACTCATATGGCTTAGTCTGAATAATGTTTCTTAAATATATTCACCAATGTTATAATTTTAATTTAAACGAAGTATTATCTATATTTGCAAAATCTCTTTTATCAGACAACCGCTTAATGAGAGACCAAACAAAAGTAGAACGAGCTAACAAACTAAAGATGTAGGGTCTTAATAAAAAATTATTCTTAACTTTGATTAAAACTTACTTTATGCAAATAATTCAGTTTAGTGCATCAACTAAGTTATGATTTATTTTTGTCTTTATAATTTTGCTTTTTTAACACATAGAACATATATATTTTCGTTGGTTTTACTTCATTTTGAATGACCTTATTTCAAGTACAGCTTCCATGATTGTGCACTAAGAAAAATAACTTGTTCTACTTATTTTTCAACTGCTTAGGAAACATAGCATATAGTGCCTTTTATGACTCCAAGAAAATTATAACTGTTACTATTAAACAGTGTTCCAAATCGACGATCTTGAGTGAACTTGTCAATTTGCATCGATGAAAAACTCAATGTTCGGTATTTTTGTCCATCTAGTAAAAGTCCATGCATTATCTTCTTCTTCTTCTACCATTTAAAAAAGTGAGAATATCTTTATTTTGCATAGATGAAAAACTCAATGTTCGGTATTTTTGTCCATCCAGTAAAAATCTATGCGTATTTTCTTCTTCTTTTTACCATTTAAAAAGTGAGAATATCTTTATCTTGATAAAAGATTATGCATCTTTTTAGGATTTGGCCCGTCTCATATCATTAATGTTTTTTTCAATGAAGGCAGTTATTATTGAGAGAATCACTTAGTTGTCTATGGTATGAGCGTACTAGGTACGCACTTGATCCCTGATTATGTTCATATAATATAATGTATTCGTATTAAGATTAGAATTTATAGCAATTTCACATAAATATGTACGGTATGAGAATTCGTTTGCAATCGCAGATTATAAATATCTTTGAACATGTAAACATATTGTGAAGGTGCTATTATACTCCCAATATACAGATATTTTTGGTCCTCGAATTAATATGTGAACAAACTATACAAACCGCCATGGTACTTATTTTGTACAAATTTCATAATTATATTACTTTTTTTTATTTCAATTTAGTATTGGATACATTAATAGATGGATGAAAGGTACAGGAAACTTTGGAACAATCATCTGAATATGTGTTGATGCCTGTAAATTGCATACCTTAATGTCATATAGAACTTTTTGTAAATTAACAACTTATTATATATCGAATTTCAAAGTTAGTTGTCTAAATAGCTTTTCGGTTTTTAAATAGAGATTATTAACATACACGGAAGATTATGTCAATATTATATACAAATCTTTCAAAATGAGGAACAACCTTAATTCATTGGACAAACTATACAACGTATCTCGGTTTGCTCTGATGATCTAAGCGCTCATTTATAGTAGCAGGTGAGATACTTTTGATGGCCCTTCTTGTGGAGCCGTTCTTACTTGAATTGTTTGATAGGATACATTGAGGTGTTTCTTATTGAAAATACCAAATGCGAGGCTCATTCAGTTGATTGGGCAGCGGTGTCATTCCTTCATTTAGAATTTCTATGAGGAAACATGTTTCTGCCGGTTCCGAAGCAGCGGCGCTCATCAAACAACCAGCAGTCACAACAAGGATCGCCGTCGCAAAGACAGAAGCAGCCTGACGACTTGCTCATACCTTATGCTTCAATGCATAGAGACTACAGAAGTAGCAGACATTCAAGATTACAAAAGAAGAAAGAATAGGAGATCCAATGAATTGAATGGCATTTCTATTTCAGGACTCGATCTGTAGTAACTGCTCTTTGCTTATTCTTCATAATTGATGAATTACAGCAAAGAAACTACAAAGGGCAATAGGAAGTAATCAACGCTTAGACTTTGAAGAATCTTCTAGACCAGTCGGACAAAATTGCGAACACAACATGAATTACTTAGGTACCGCCAAACAGACTCGGCTCTGCCCTAACAATCTTGATGCGAAATACACAGAATGACATATACAGCCCAACAAAATAATGCTAATTATCGCAAACAAAAACGGTTGCCTGACCCCTGTTTATCCACGTTACAGAGGAGTAATGGATCTCAAAGAATAAAAGACTATAAGACGCATACTGCAGCACAAATATCAATACACAAAATTATTCTGCTTCATCCCTTTCCCAGGGTTCCATCCATACCTCATTCGCTTGTCATTCCTGCCAAATCCTGCGCGCTTGTGTCTCGGGATATATTGTCTATCAGGTTCGTGTTCTCTATTCATCTTATCCCAGTCCCATGTATCCCAATTGTCACAGGCTATGAATTGCCTGTTATCTTGAGTACTAACCCACTGATCCCACTCCTGAGAATGGGTCTGCTTTGAAACCCAAATAGGGTCCCCATCAGCTGCGATTCGCTCCACAGGATCAGATCCATACGTCTTTCCGCACCCAATGTGTTTGAGTTCTCTATTCACGTTGTGCCAATCCCCTGAGTCCCAGTTATTACCAATTCTATCACCGCCGTTCTCCAACTTATGATAATCTTTTACATCACGATTTTCTTGAGCACTGACCACCTGAGTCCACCCCTGAGAACAGTCCTGCTTCGAACCCCAAAAAGGGTCACGATCAGCTGCAACTCGATCCGCAGAATCAACTCCATGTGTATTTTCGCACCCTGCAGGTTCGACTTCTCCATTCATCTTATCCCAATCCCAGGTGTCCCAATTGTTGACGGTCCTGTCTTTGTCTTTCACATTAAAATCCTCTTGTGTACCAACCCCCTGATTCCAGTCCTGAAAATGGCCCTGCTTCAATCCCCAAAGAGCATCAGCATCAGCTGCGACTTGCTCCACAGGATCAGCTCCATAAACATTTTCCCCACCCACACAATCATCAATGACCTTCCAAGATGCCTCATCCTTTGGCCATTCCTCTTCGACATCTCCCCATCCATCACATGCAAAGGCTGGATCAGCTAAGACATTGCCAAAGATAACCGTTTGACCACTATTACTGCCATAGAAAGCCTCAGGTCCTCGCTCCAAGTCCAAAAGCAGTTCAGGGTCCGTTTCGGATTCCCAATCTACTTCGTCTATATGGATATTTGGATCAGGCAAAGAGATGCTACATGGAAGCCCATTGATTTCTGCCCAATACCTTTCCTTTGCGTTGTGAAACGCCTCCTCAACTGCTGAGTCGTTCCATTTAACTACTTTGTCATGTATGTGCAAGTACTTCTTCGCATCCAAGAGCCTGTGCCAGGAAACTGAGCCAACCGATTTGCAGAATTTCTTCTCCCAAGATGGCACGGTTGGCTGCCAACTGCCTGTAAATGAACAAAACCATCATTAGTTCATCAACTCAAGACGAAACTTCCAAACAAAAGTCAGGGAAAAAAAATGAAAGTGACTGGATTATGCACATCTAGTACGAACAATGACCCAATCTAGCACAGATAAAATATCATCCACACTGGAAAAATTAGACCCTCTAGTAATGAAAACAAATTAACGAGCATGGACACACTACACCATCAGATGATAAAAACTCATTGCCAATTCACCTCTTTCCCTATATAACAATGCTAAATCCGAAACAAACAGCCCGAATCATCCCAAGTAAGACCCAACTGCAAGGCAGTATAACAATCAAGCTACATCCAATGCCAAACTCCACACAATCAAACTAACCGACAATCAATCTCAAGCAACTCATAACATCCAGTCCGCAATCGGCTCAGTCACACAGCTCTCAGCTTCAAACTCCAACACATTGAAATTAATCTCTCATTCACCAAAAAGAGACACCCAACCACCGTAAAAAAACACGATCCCCTCTGCAAACAGAAGCCATCCAACTGCCACCAGACCAATATATCTCCAAAGGGCGAGCAAGATTATTAAAGGGGGCGGAAAAAAGAAAAGAGAAAACGCCCTTTACAAGTACGAACCCGACACGAACAGGGGCAAAAGAAACATCACTGCAGGCAAAGAATTGAAAAAAAAAAAAAAAAAGAGAAACGATGACCAACGAACCACTCAACACAGGCGGAGACAATCAATCACAGGGAAAGAAAAAGGAACAGAGAAAATAAAATATTACCGAGCGGCGGCTTTCTTGCCAACGATCTGGTCCCCGGAGCGCCCTGATGACGAGGATAACCCTTCTGTCCCCTCCAGCTGCCCATCCTCGACCCCGACAAGACTCCCCAGAAAAGGAAAAACCGGTGTATAAAAAAGAACCAACCCCCCCAGCAAAAGATCCCTGCAGCTGCAGAGCAAGAACAAGAAGGCCACCCACCCGTCGAAGCGTAAACAACTTCAAGAACGATGCAATCCCCGGCCTCTTGGACGGGAAAGGAAACGAGGGTCGTCCAAGAACGGAGCGATCGGCGACCGAATTGCGATCACGGCGAGGAGAGAGAGAGAGAGAGAGAGAGAGCGGCAGAGGGTTTAAGGCTTTGGAAGCAACGTTTAAAGGGTGCGCTTCGGAAGCTTATGAAACTCGAGGTGACATTGAAAGAGAAGAAGCACACAGTAATGCGTGGGGGGGGGGTTTCATTCTTGCGTTTTCTTTATATTAAGCCTCCCCCTCGAATGGCGGTTTCCTCTCTTTTGTTTCTCCTCTCTCTATTCGTGGGGAAGGGAAATTCATACCAAGAAAGAAAAGAATAATAAAACAAGAACATCAATTTCTCCGAAATTGAAAAGGTCTAAATTAATTCCGTTATAAAAGTACTAATTTTCACGCGTGCATTACGTGTGCGGTCCGATTAGTTTGCGTTCCTAGGACAATACTATAAAAATAATTCGACGTATAAATTCTTAACCTTAATGGCACGGCGAAATTAAAAAAAAAAAAGAGGTGAGGTTATTGTCTTTGTTTTATTATTGCAACAAAATTCTTCCTTTTGAAAGGAAATACTAAACAAACATTTTGCTAATTTTTAAATAACTGAAGCAAAATGTTTAGTTAGTAAAACATTATAAAAAAAAATTTGAAGGGAAAAAGTAAGAAAGACATTCCAAATTTCTCGAATTGCGTGCGAGGGAGGAGTTGATTATTCAATAAAAGACAACTGAGTAATTTTAACCAAGTACGCTTTCTTAATAGTAGGTGGGGGTGGCCACTCTCTTTTTTGTTCTCGTCCTTTTCTTTTGGCCAATTTTACAATTTATCCCGCCCGAGTTGCAATCAGAAAAGAAAGAAAAAAAAGAGTTTGTAAGGATTAAGTGAGAAATAGTGAGGTGAGACAAACTGATTTTCGGGCTTAATATATATAAATATAGAAGATATGCCGTATTCGCAAATTATCGCTTGCCTTGGGAGTGCTCCGTGAATAAAATTGCAGATATACCGAGTCGATGTAGAGAAATGCGCTTTCAAGGATGCCGTCTTCAAAAAATGAAACGGTAATTATAGTTGATCCATGATCATCCCACCATAAAGTGGAACAATCGAAACAATCGGGATTATTTGCTTCCGATTATAGTTTCGCTTTCAATAGATCGAGCCGTTGCATAAGAATCCATACACAAGCGTCGTCACCGTTCTTCCCCACACTTAATATCAAATTCAAATTTGGATGGTTTTCTTTCTTTCCTTTTATAGAAATATCAAGGGGCTAATTCCCTAAAAAGAAAAATCCAAATATCCAGAGATTGTTGCTATTCCACGAGGAGGCGAGGATGGTGATGAAAACAAGGATATTAACTAATCACCCTCCAATTGACCATACTGTTAATAATTTGGAAAAAATCAATAACGGGTTTTGGATATTCGGATAGATTTGAAACTTTTATTTTAAATGAAGAAAATTTTGGAATAGGATTGAGGTTTTTCAGGGAATTGGGTCCGCATGCAAGCGCAGTAGTTGTCTATTAAATCACTGACTCTTGTCAGTCAATTCCAACAAAAGAGAAGGATATTCCTTTGTTATTTTATTGTGAAAAATTGGAGTATTAATGTAGTATTGTCGGTACTCTACGGGGGAAACTTGCCGGACGCGGTCAGTGATGTGCGCTGCTTTCCTTTGCTTTTTTTTAAAATTTGCTGCGTGATGGCGACCCGTGTGGACGGTGGGACGGGAGGGAGGGATGATGATGATGATGATGATGATCTAGAGCGACAGAGCGGTACAAGTTAGTCCTAGGTTGTCCCCCTTAAAAGAAAGTCGTGATTTTTAATAATTGGAGTGAGCAATAATCCATATGGCTTAACTTCTTGCCAATATCATCGAGGATCTTCTAGACAAATCTCGCGAAAAGCTTTAACGTTTTCTTGATTTCGAAAAGGACTTTGCTGGCATAATAATATTTGGATTACTGTTAGAATAATATAATGTCGTGAGTCAGTTATGACATCCGAAAATTTCGTAGTAATAAATATGTGACGTTGGAAATTTTTTATATTTGATAATAATACTTAGATTATAAGCTAAGTATTATTTATCTTAGTATTTGTGCTAACGCGTAGAAATCGTTGTTGGATCGTAAATTATGAGGCGCGGATTCGGGAACGTAGTCATTCGAGTTCGACGTGTTTAGAATTTTAAACGTTGTTGTGTATGTTAATAGTAGTGTGATATTAATTAAATTACCATCGTCTTAATAATTAATGTGTAATATTATTATATTAAACTTTAGTTAATTAGTAATAATCATTATTTTCTAATTGCCGTTAAGGGGGGAAGATATTCTGTTTTTCTCACAAAATTCCCTTAAGACATCTTCCTCTCACGTGGCCTATGAAAGATTTAACCATGGTCACATGCCACATGCCCTCTTAAAATAAACTTCTTGTTTTAGCTTAACACCTAGCCATAGGCCATCATTTTCCTTGGCTATTACTCTTCCCTAATAAGCCTTGATTTCTTACACCTGGCCATGGATGGAAAGAGGAAGTGCTATCTGTGAGTGCATGCACTTATCCACTTCACAATCTACTCCTTTTTTTTTTCATTTTTTACTGGGTAACATCGAAGGGAATTTTCACCCCCAGGCGGTAACTCTTTTTCACTATCAATCTTCAAAGATAATTTACTTCATCAATACCCGATCCAAAATTTACAAGCTAGTTTTGGGCATTCAGATTTTAGATAAGGCAAGTGAAGATTCTAGAGTTAAGCTAGTTAAATCTACTTGACACTTTTTAACTTGGTTGCTTGAGAAATGTTATTTTGATATGTGATAATAGTGAAGACATGGTGATGGTTGGATCAATTTTACTAATTTTGTACATGTTCAAATTGGCGTGATTTGTTTCCTTAAAGTGTGGTAAAAATCGACAAGTGCAATGGTTAAATCTAAACGTGTAAATGTCATCTTTGAGGTGATTGTGAAAATTTTCTTGCCGGTTTTATGTATGTTTAAAAAGGTAGAAAATTGTTTTACTCAAAGTGGAGTATATTAGGTGAGTGTAAATGATGAATAAGAACTTGGAAAAAACATATTTATATGTGACATCCGGAAATTTCGTAATAATAAGTAATTGACGTTGGAGATTTTCGATGTTCGAAAATGATTCTTAGATAATAAAGCTAAGTATTATTTAAGTTAGTAATTGTGCGGACGCTTAGAAATTGTTGTTAGACTGTAATTTGCGAGGCGCGGATTCGGGAACGTAATCGTTTCGAGCTCGACTTATTCAAAATTCTAAACGTTGATGTATACGTTAATAATAGTGCAGTATTAATTAAATTACCGTTATCTTGGTAATTAGTGGGTATTATTATTATTGGTTAATTTTGGTTAGGTAGTGTTAGCCATTTTATTCTAATTTGTCGTTAAGGGAAAAAGGGGGGGGAGATATTGTCACAAAATATCTCTTATGGACTCTTGTTCTCTCACGTGGCTATTGAAGGAGAAGCTTGACCGAATGCCATTTGTCCTCCTAAGCCAAGCTTCTACCCTAGTTAGACACCTAGCGTAAACAATCATTTTCCTTGGCCACCACTCCTTTCCTGATTTCTTACATCTGGCCGTGATGAAAAGAGAAGATGCCACCTGTGAGTGCAAGGTGTTTATCTACCTCAACCTATATTCCTTTGTCTCATTTTTATTTAGGTAAACACCGAAGGAAATTTTACTCCAAATCGTAACTCCCTTCTTCACTTTCTACTTTCACCTTTAACCGATTCAAAATCTACGGGAGAACTTTAACTTTTGGGTGTTCAGATTCTACACTAGGTAAGTGAAGACTCTAGACACTTTTAACTTAGTTGCTTGAGAAATGCTATTCCAACGTATGATAATAGTGAGGATATGGTGATGGTTGGATCTGTTGTGCTGGTTCTGTACATGTTCAAGTGAAGGTGATCTGTTTCTTTAAAGTGTAGTGGAAATCGGCAAATGGAACAGTTAAATCCGAACGTGTGAATGTTATCTTTAAGGTGATTGTTGAATTCTTCTTGCTGGTTTTTTGTATGTTCAAAAGGGTAGAAAATCGTTTTACTCAAAGTAATGATTCTGTTTACTTCTGAAATGAGTAGATTTTAACCTCAAGATCTAGTTCTGCATACCTTTGAAACTACTCAGACTTAACTGTAAAAAATCTAGTTCTATATACTTTTGAAACTGCTCAAACATTACGGTCAAAATCTGATTCTGTCTACTTTTGAAACTGCTCAGACTTTACATTCTGAGTCTGAACTAGCTTCTGAGTCTAAACTCGCTTTTGAATCTGAACTTGCTTTTGAGTCTGAATTTGCTTGTGAGTTTGAACTTGTTTCTGAATCTGAACTTGTTTCTAAGTTTGAATTTGCTTCTGATTCTGAGCTTGCTTCTGAGTTTGAACTTGCTTCTAAGTCTGAACTTGTTTTTTGAGTTTGATTACCTATTTTTCAGACTCGCCTATCTAGAATCGGTATTTTCTAAACCAAGAAAGTTTTATATCAAAATCTGGATATGTGTACTTTCTAGACTTGAGTAGACTTCAGCCTTTTGAGTCTGAACTTATATTGCTTCATACTTATGGGTTCGAATGATACACTTTATTTCTCTAAAGGATATGTGATGTGAAAAGAAGGATAATATATGCATGCAAATACTTAGTTATCATGGCTTGCATGAGGATAATATATGCAAATACTTGGTTGACATGACTTGCATGAGAATAATATAAATTCCGTCGCCCATATAGTGGTGTGTGACGATGCCCCGTGTATCGGGATACCTCGAGGAGTGTTTAGGGATGCCTCGGGAGTCGGGATGCCCCGTGTGTCGGGATGCCCCGGGAAGTGTTTCGGGATGCCTCGGGAGTCAAAATGCCTCGTTGGTCGGGATGCCCCAAGATTGTTCGGGAGGATGAAGTAATGAACCTAACGCATGAGCATGAATGTTTTACATCATATGCCTGCGTTTGGATGAAAATATTGTGGAATAATGAAATAGTTTGATTTGTGTGGCATATCCAGACGGAAAAAGGAATAACATGCATTCGAGTTCCATGCATACTGTTTGTTATGCATGCATGTTATTTATACCAGGTGAAGTGGTAAGCTGATTTTTCTAACTTAAAACTATAGATTTCATTTACTAGGCCTCAGCTCATCCCATTATTTTTTTAGATATGTAGGAATGGACAATCTGCTGTCAATGTTTACTG